CATGGTTTTATGTATATATATCTTGTGGTCAGTTGTGACAATATCAAGTAAAAGGCAGTAGAATCTTTCCTTCAAATATGCAGACACGGAAAGGGCCAATAAGCTGTTAGTGACAGAAAGTAATAAAAACTATTTATAATCACAGGAATTAGGATTTTCTTTTCAATTTTGGTATTAATTCTGCTTTTTGCACAAAGGTATTATTCAGATAAAAAGCCTGCCTGTTGTAACATGTGGGAGGATTCCAACCTTTGTTCATTTTTTGCTCCTTCACATTGTTTTGTTTCTTTTAAACCCGCCCAAACAAGCAAACAACATCTTAAATTCAAAACTTGATACTGGTCCGGATCTGGTGCGGTAAGTAATTTAAAAACATTCTTACTTTGAGGAAAACTGGGCTTCTCAGCATTACAAGGTTTTTTCTGGACGTCAACTCTGTTACTCAGCTGGTCTTTTTTCCTGCCTGTTTTTTTTCCCCGCTTCTCGTCTTTTGTTGATGCCAGGAGCTTGTTGCCATGGTGTTTCACGCTTCACATCCCTCCGGTCACCTGCCAATCACATAGATTGTTGGCTCTTGACACCTTTCTCCTTGGATTTCCTCTTTTTTCTCATCTGTATTCACACCAAATACAAAGCTTTTTCTATCCATCACATATCATGCAGTGTTTTTTCGAGATTTCCCTGAAGTGGAAATTAATGGAATCACTGTTTTGCTATATAAAACGCTGACAAAGGGATACATAAAAACGTTCATTCATGTTTCGCTCGCGATTATAGTGTCACAGTATTGTGGCAGCTGAATGTGCTCATATTTATAAGTCAATAGCTGAATATCATTTGCCCCAGAGAGTGGTTCTTTTATATTTCATATCAGCCTCGGAATTGAAAATGAATCACAATGATGCGAAGGGGGACAGAAGAGGAAGAGGGAAAAGAAACAGAAAGTGGAGCCCGGCTCGCCTGTAAATCTAGACAACAGATTGATCTTGCGTTCCCCGTAGGCTCCGAGATTCAGGTTGAACAACAAGAAGATAAATCATTAAGGTGCCTGAGGCTGTGTTGGGCATTATGTTTTAAATGGTTGCTTGAAATTTGAATATAATCCTTTTTTTGAACTTGTTTATTAGGTTGATGTTGGCTGATGTGAGGTCTAATGTAGATTTTTGGCAGGCTTTTTATTTTAAAAACGCAGTAAAGTAGACATATGTGTGTGTTTTTGTGTCCTTTCCTTTGTCTTCTGCTGCTCTTTACAACAAAATTAGGTTAAGTGTGGACTACCAAATTTTTAAAACACTTTGAATTAGCTTGTACACGAAATGTGCTATACAAATAAATTTGCCTTGCATTGTATTTCAGTGTCAACTGTTAGAGTTTACTCAGGAGCTCTCTTTGTTGTAGCTTCCCATCTCTCTCGATTTAATATGTACTGCCTTAAAATTGTTTTTAAACTCCACAGGTGGCAAACCAGATAGCTTTCTTGTTAAATGTGCCCTGTGGAGATTTAATAAATGTAGTGTAAACGGTGATAATGTGCTGTTTACCGTTCCATTTGTGTGCAGAAGACATAACAAACTGGTGAGCCACAAATGACCATACACCATCATATGTAAAGTGATCAAATATACAATCAATATACCCTTGAATTGCTGAAAGTGTCCAAAAGGAACTTGAATCTTGATAAAAAACTGTACATAAGCAACTCAGAGTTACTATGTTAGTTACTATGGAGCTATATAATGACCATCTGCAGGCACTTCTTACTAAATTTTGCCATCCATTTTGCAAAGCCGGCTTTTTTTCAGTTGATTTCCCCAATCATGTAGGTCAGCTGGTGCAGGTCAGGACTAAAAGTGGGACGGAGTTACTTCGGGGTCAGCTCAGGAAAGCAGTGATCTCCATTTCTCGGCAGCTGGCTGCAGGTTTAGCAGATGCTTATCCGGTAATTGCTCTCGTATCTATCCGCTCTACCTGAGCTGCGTTTATCTCTGCGGTAAGGCTGCGTTATTGCACACGGAGCAGTGATAAGCCTCACACCGGCGTATGCGCAACGGTTTTAAGAGGTTAAACGCTTTTCTGTGCGTGAATTTGAGTTTCTGTAAGTCTTGAAGCTAATTTTAAATAATTGTATGTGTTAAGAGGAATTACTTCTCTTAGATGTCCCCAAAAGGGGAAATATTGCAATATTAAGGTGTAGTAGACTACTGTGATCTGTAGTTTTATCAGGATTGTTTGTTTGTTTTTCGGCAATGAAGATGTGTTTCAGATGACTGCTGTCCTAAATTTCAGAACGTTTAAGCCTGCCGGTAGATAAAAAGCTAAATCCATTTGCATGTCTCCCCTTAAACTCTTCAAGTGACCCACACTGACTCTCAGATGACGGCCGTCCTCTCGGCCGGTCATGTGATTCAGGACAGCTGAAGCAAGAGAAACCATATGTTGGTGAGCAGCAGTGGGAGGGGAAAGGTTGGGAATTTGTGGCTGTAAATCATACGCTGATATCAACAGTAACTACAGTATAGTCTCCATGAAGGAATATTTAGTAATTATGCAAACACACTGTGCATGGACGATAGCAGAAATTGGTGCAAATAGACTACAGTTAATCTCTGAACCTGAAATTTCAGCAACCCTCTTTGATAAACCTGCTCTGCGTGAAAAATAACCACTCCGAGACTTTCATCTTACTGTTTTGATTAAGTTAAGGACTGCTTTAATATTTCAGCGTTTCTGTTTTGAATCGCATTTGCATCATAATTCACTGTAGTGTTTAGATCTTTCTAAACACTACACTGTTTTCCCTCCTATCCCAACAGCCACTTAGTATCCATTACCGAGACAGTCAGGTTTTTTAACTCATCAATTTAAATTACACCGGAGAGGACGTTGAAGCATCAGTCACTGTGGAAAAATACTGGCCTGTGTTCCAGTAAATGAGTTGTTTCTCTTAACACATGCTGGATTTTTTAAATATTTTAGAATTTAAAGTAATTTCATCTGTAAGATTTTACTGCCACCAATAGACTCTCTCCCACAAGCCTGCAATAATAGATTTTAGTTTGTTTGTGGAACTTTCGAAAACTGGAATCTGAGAGTTTTATACCCAGATCAAAGTATAAAAAACACTTATCATTCACATAACCGTTTCTCTGACACTTGCCGGCTACCCAACCAGTTGTAGATCATCGGGAGTCCCCTGTAGCATCTCTGTTCCAGAAGAATAGCAGTGGCTCTCTAAAAACGACTTAAAGAGCTAAACAAAGAGCCTGAGGATTCCAGACATCGTCTAAACTCGCCAGATACCAATCCAATGGCACAGTGGGAAGCAGTTTGAATCTACCCAGAGGCTTCCTCACAACCCTCAGGTGCCTGACATCCATGTCACAAATATATTCTAAATGTTCTAAACTGGCCACAGCTTTTATTTTTCCTGCAGCAGGAGCACCTACATTATATCCAGTAGATGGTCTTAATGTTACAATTTGGCCTTATTCCATAAAGACCTGTGTGCTTTGATTACATGGGCCCTGTGTGCCTTCATTTACACTACGGAATACAATTTTTCTGCCTTATTAACCACATTTCTCAGCTCTGTATGCAGAGAAAATTTAAACCAGATCAAGATGATCAATATTTTTGGTCATTTAAGTCATTTACAATTTATGCAGAAATCCTTTTCTCAATTATATAGTTCATTTTCTCAAAGTTCCTTACTACTGTATAGTAAATTTCCTAAAGTTTTGTTTTAGAAATATCTTCTATTGGCTTGAAACCTATCTAACTCCTTAATGCAGTAAGAAAAAAAAACAACATTTGGAATTTCTGTTCTATCTTTTTTTCTACTTCTGTCATTAACAGTAAAAAATGCATGGCCTTGCGATCCTTTTGTAATTCTATGTAAAGCAGCGCTATATCTTTTTCAGAGAAAGATCATCCACGCTGCGCTTGTACAAGCAAACCGTAGACTGGCTGAGGCCAGGGTGAAGCCATAAAAAATACTCAAGTTGAGCATTTAATTTTATTTTCCAAAGACTTAGAAAAAAACAGCGTGAGCAAAGACGGACAAAAAGAAGCTTTAACCCTTTAAAGCCTGATACAAGAAAAAAACAAAACAGAAAATTACTTTTTTTTTGCTTGAATTCCTTATTTGGCCTTTTAACAAAATATGTAAAAAGAAAAAACAGAAACACATTTTTAATATTTATAATTTATTACTATGGGATAAGTCAAGATTATTTTTTGTGTAGTCTTCTGCCCCCTGTTATCAGGTATATTGGATTGTGTACAATAGGATTTTGAGCAAAGTTTTTACCATTAAATAATGCAAAAGGTGTCAGACGCAAAACATTTCAGAAACCGTGTATATCAAATATGATACATTTGGCATTACAGGGTTAACTCTAAGTAGATTTCATGAAATTTGCTAAACAACAACTGGATACCTCTTTAAAAAATGTCTCCTAAACTTCTATTTCTGACAATTTTCTTTTTTTTTTTGCTATTTTCAAAATGGATAGAATAGAATTTTCCAACAGAGCCAACTCTGAGCGCTTTGCTCTTGACAGTTAAGGGTCAGTGAGGTGGAGGCAAAATCAAGTAAAAGAGATCACACGATGCCTTCAGATCTCTGGCCTGGAGGGCAGCCAACACATCTGATATGTGGAACACACGTTCCCCACACATATGCTGCGTAGCACGAGGTTAAGTAGAGCAGCAAAGCAGGGCTAGCTTTACCTCTTGAATTTAGTTTCTTGCCTTTGAATTGTCTCTAAAATATAGAAAACTAACAAGTGTGTGAATTTTAAGAAATATCCTCTTATGCTAATTCCAATGCAATTACAACAGGAGAATGGCAAATCCCTGTGGTGGATTGATTTAATTAATGTTATCAAAGTTACCGGAATCGCAAATTTAATGTCATTTTATGCTGAGATTACATCAGATGCGTGTACTTTTAATCCACAGTGGCCGATGTCCTCATCCTTCCTGAGTGTGTCCTCCTTCTTTTTCTTCCTAAACAGGTTTCGCCGTGAATCTCCAGGTGATCCTGGCAAAACCACGGGCTCAGTTTAAACGGCGGGGCTCTCAGCCCGGGATGCAGGAGTCGGACTTCCTCAATCAGATCACCAAGGTGACCGATTTGGAGCCCAAGGCGAATAACTGCACACGGGTGAGTGGCCTCTATCTCCGTGTCACTGTTCTGATATCACTTCCTGTGATGTTACAATCGACACCGTGGATATTTCCACTGCCAGTGCATAAGCATGGAAGCCCATCATTTCTATCCAAAGAAACGTAACATTTTTTTTAAAATGTTGGTTTGTTTGGCTCTTGTTTAGGTGACCGAACAGATGCAATCTCATATTAATCCGTCTACTTCCCAGTTTACTGACGCCATATTTCAGTAGCTGATATATGGCGTGAGCTAAAAAATATTTTTCATGTTTGACTCCTCTGCAGACAGCCACCCGTTTAAAGTCCACCCCTGCTTCCAGTGCAAGAGCCTGTGGACGATTTATAGCGCTTCCATCATCAAAATGTATGGTTTATAGTGCTCTTATGTCCATTCGAGGAAAAATGTCAGGATTCTCACAAATCTCGGCCCAATTCACTTCGGCGTCACCGAAATGCAGCAAATCTTTTTTCATGTGGACATAGAGCCTTTGGCATGGGGCTGGAGATTAAGTAGGATGGGAATTAAATAATAGGAATATCTTTAAAAGTGGCAAAAATTTGCAATCCTACGTGGGACAGTGAGAAAGTCTCAAAATGGTGGCTCTAATGGTGTTACTGGCAAAGGTAGCACAATGGTCAACCTGAGTTTGAAAAATGCTCTCTCTCTCTCTCGATTTTATTTTTACTTTTAAAGTTACAACTGAGACAAGGCAACACTTAAATTGAACATTAGCGTAAAACCTTATCATCTGACCTGCGCAGTGGAATTTCGTCAGTTTTAATTTAGCTTAGCCCTGAAACTGTAAATGTTACGATGGCCGCCACCAAAGCAGCAACTAACCATGAGACTTCTCTACCCAACTATGCTTTGAGCTAGTGGCCCAGTCTAAAACACAGAAGCCCACACAGCTCTTTTTTTTGTTTTTCCACCCTTTAAAGGTGAGCCGTTAATGCGACATTCACCGTTCCAAGTATGAACCAAGTCCACCAAATTAATCACTTTTTGCCATGCTTCCATGATTTCAGATTTATGTGTTTTTTGGATTAAAAGAGGAGCAGCTCTTGATATTGGTGATGCAATGCTATTTTTTTCCAACATACTCTCACCCTCTTTTCAAAACTTGTCCCTCAGATTTCATTCAAAGACAGTCAAATGTATTCGATGCTTTTGTAATCCTTAGATAAAATATCATATTGCGCCGCTCATAATTCAGAAAATGAATTGCAATCAAATCTGCTGAGTGTACTTTTTTCTCTTTCTTTTATGTTTGATGCAGGATATATATATCATGGAAAACATACGCAATCAAAAGGTTTAATAAATCTGTCGTGGTCTGTTTTGTTTCAGTAAATTCAAAGCAATGCAAAATGGTGGGCTATACACTGCAACGGTTTAAGACTTTTTCTGTGACATAAATAGCTTGAAAAAACAGAATTTCAGATAAAATAAATCATGAACAATAGCACTGAGTTGTTGATTAATGACATTTTACATTCCTTTCAGTTAAGAAAAGCAGTTACGTGCAGCTAACATGAGGCTAGAAGGATTTAAATTACACAAAACTGTCCGTAATTTAGAACACGTCAATCTCTACTGGTAATAGGCTGCTTTTATCTGAAGGTTTGACAGTAGGAAGGTATTTTTCTAGTGCACTCAGTGTGCTATAAGCTTGGTATTGTATATGCCGTATGTATGTAAGCATATTCATTATCACACTTACATTTATATTCCCTTTTTTCTCCATCTATCCATCCTGTTCTGCTTATTCAAAGGCTTAGTCTTTTTGCCTATAACCTATAATAACTGCTTGCAAAGCTCAAATCTAATTTTGTGTCCTTCCAACCTTCTCGTGATACTCAAACTCCTGCTATTGTGGCGATGATCTATATTCAGATCAAGATGCTGTGAAAAATGATTAACTGAACAACACATCTGGGGGTTTCCTCAGCGTGTCGTTTTTTTTTCCCGCGGAGAGACTCCGGTCAGCAATTTCGGATTGCAGCTGGCAGCAATTCTCCACCCCCTGTAGGTCCCGGTCGGAGTGGTCTTCCATCTTAGATGAGAGGAGATTAAGGACCGCGGTTGACCGTTGTGTTGGAGTCCACCTGCGAACGATTTCAAGTCCCATCAGAACACCATTTTATCCAAAGAATTTAAGGAAACCTTCGATGGAAAGGGTCTAACTACACAGAGTATGTGGTTTTTAGCAGTCAAAATCTAGAGTCTCATGCAACAACATCAAAACTAGCAGCTCATTTTTACATTTTTTAGGCTGCAACTTTGATTCTATACACAGTCCAACAGTGGAGCGAATAATCTGAATTATTCTATGCCTGGAACTCCCACGGTGAATGAAATATCGAAGATTCCCGTCCGAACGTGTGCGTACAGGTCACATTGTTACACTGTAAGCCTGACGGGTAAATGCTTCATGTAGAGAACGGGATAAAGACCCCCAGAGCTGTGAGGGATCATCATTTACAGCCGGCTGCAGCTGCAGACGGCTCTGTGTTGAGACTGTAATCATCATTATCAGCCCCATTACGCTAATGGAGGTAGCCCGCCGCTGATATTAATACAGGCTATTAGCAGCCTGTGACATTATCAGTCATCACGCAGGAGCGGGTCCTATCAGTATTTATCACGTCACGGCGCCAAGACGTCACATCGTCACTTGTAACCCCGTTTTTTTTGTGTCGTAACGATGACATTGTGAAGCATTATTCGTGCGGATGTATGAGTTCGCGCATGGGTGGATTCACTCCTTCTCTGTCGTGCTGCCTACGGAGAACATTTGTTTTAAAAAATGAAAAGCCTTTTGGAAGTTTTTCAAATGTTCACTTAAGATTCCACCTTGGATTACATTGCCTGAATGCATGTTGGATGGCGGAATTCATGTTATGTTTGCGTATGTTTCAAGAAAACAGGATTTTCAGAGCATATTCCAAGCAGAGCATAGTCTCTTTGTTACCGTTATCCACTGTGATCCACTCTGATTAGACACGATGTGGTGATAAGGATTTGCATATTTAACTGTAATTAAGAATTTGGCTAAATGTTTATCTTCTGTAAAGCCCAAAGATGTTAGATTCACCTAGATATTTGAGGAGAGGATCCCTCAAAAAAGAAAGTACCTTGGGCTCAATCTCTACTTATTAAACTAAAAGGAACTTACAATGCAATACATAAATAGATTGGAGCGTAACACACATTTTTAGGCTAGTAATAACAATAGTTTTTATCGTTTTCGCCAACAAGACCACTGTGTTTGAATCCCTGATGACAGCCCTGATTTTTTTGTATGCGTTTATCTCTATGTAGGTTCTCTCCAGGTGTTTCAGCTTCCTTTTGCCATCCAAAAAACTGCATATTCTACATTCTAAATGGGCTCTTTTGTTAGTTTACATTTGTGTGACCCGGTGATAACAGTTCCAAGTCTCCCGGGAACTAGTTCAAGGATTTTGGAGCGTGAAAATTTAAGCTCTGACTTCTTCTTATGTTACCTGCTGAAGGGCAACCCTATTAAGACTGTAAACACCTCGGGTCTCATTTATGAAATATTGCGTAAGATCTATGTATACTTGAGGTGTACATACACCCAAGTTCGGAAAAATAGCTCACACCCAAAAAATAAAAAAGGAAAAAAGACTGATTTGCTAAATCATGCATACCCAGCTTTTAGTTTCATTTTATAAATCACAGCTTTAGTTTAACAGTTGCGTGCACGGGTCTGTTTGTATGCTATTCCTTTTTAAATGATTCAAAAGGGATCTGCAGCCCAGGTATTGTTGGTTTGTGTCGTTTCCAAAGAATCTCGAGATCCGATCATAAGCCTGACTTTGACAATGTGGGACAGAAACGCTCATCCGATGGTCCAGGTCGGTATCTCGAGACGACTGACGGGAGCTATAATGCAGTTAGAGCAGGGGAGTAATGGCAACAGACAGAAGTGACAGGACAAGAAAAGAGGAAGAAGCCGGGAACAGATGGAGACAGATGATAGCGCATGAGGGAAGGGAGATGGAGAAGAGGGGGGGGAGGAGGGGAGATTGGAGGCAGAAGGGGAACGCCCATGCAGAGGGAAGTGCAAAAAATAGATAAAATGAAGGTGGTGGTGAGGAGGAATTAGTGAAAGAGACAAAAAAAAAGAGAAACATCCGAATGGTTTCTGCCATGATCTGAAACATTAGAGTGTCTGTGTCATTTCCGTTGCACGTCAAATTCCATTTAAATACGATTTTTGTATCTTTGACCACTTCTTGGTCCAGTTTAGGTGAACTGACCCTCTAAGCATTTTGAGTTTGTCCCATTTATTGTCCCATATTGGTATATTGTGTCTTTTTTTCAACACGGAACAATGGATTAGAATTTTTTTAGACTTTGAAATTGGTCAAAGGTTTTCAAAAAGATCAGTTTACACGGCTAGTTTAATAGTTAACACAATTGATGTTTCCTTATAAGCTTGTGGGACAACACAAATCTATTTCGGGACAGAGAGAATGTAATGAAACAAGCAAACATTTGTCTGATTTGGTGATTCAAATCTCACACCACAGTAATTCCCAATTTACTGTGGTGTGAGATATGTGAGTTATGATAATTTATTTTAGGTTACATCCAAAAACATGTCAACAAAATGGAAATGTGATTTCTCATATTCACCTGCAGACGTCAAAATCGTATGGAAAGAGCTTTTTATAAACACTGAATGGGCACCTTTCACAACTTTATGGATGGAAACTGCTTCAAACATCAACTCATTTCAGTCCAACTATCGAGCCGTGCAAAAATTACAAAGGCTTTATTGCTGACAGACGGGGTTGCCGAGGGGTTTAGGTAGAATACATGCTATCCTGAGCTTGTCTACAGACTCTTCCATCTGATGGGAGTTAAAAGAGAAGGGTCCTCTTCTATAAAGAAAAAAAAAGTCCTTTAAACAAATCTGGCAAAGCTTTTTTGTCTCCGTGTTGTCCAGGTTGCCTGAGGGAGGAAAGAGGATCTAAAAAGGAGAAAAAACGAGAGCAGAGCCCCAAAAAAAGTGAATGTGATGAATGAGGGGAAGAAAAAGAGGGCTGTGTGTGTGTATGTGTGTGTGTGTATGAGTCCATGGGAACGGAGTGGGAGCTCCGACCACGTAATCGGTGTGTGAGCACACACTCCCAGTTTCCCCCAACAGCTCCGGATCAGCGCTTTATAGGAGCCGCTACATTAGCCTCATTAGAAAATGCAAAGCGGGGCCAATTAGCGGCCGGGCGCACAGGAAGTGACACGTTCCACCTGGAGAAGCCCTGAGACAGTGTCAGTGTGTCCACGGCCAACGATAAATCACGCCTGTGCGAGTCTCTGCCTTCCAACACACTCTTATAAGCTCATTAGTTCTAGCTCTAAAAAAGGAAACACTTCAAATAACCTCATGCGAGTCTGAGTGGAATGAAATACATCCATTTCCTCAGGAGCATCAATCTCCGCATCCACCGTAGTATTTTTTTTCTCTCACCGGTATATTGCTAGGAAATTAGGTTGCGAACACATGACAAACAACCGCAGTTAGGTGCTCATTGCGTTTGATTCGATTTATTTCCGGAGTCCCCTCCTGGCAGGGATCGGATGATACAATGCAGTCTGCGGAGAATATAGTGTTGTCTTTCATATGTCAGATTCTGTATTCCATCACAGGAAGAGTGCTGTTGCTTAAAAAAAATGCACTCGGGGGGGAAAAGCAGCTGCCTTCTGGCTCTGGACAATACACCAGAAGAAGGCCAGTCTGTTTAATTCATCTCTGAAACAAGCCCCATTTTGAGTTATGATCTTAGGATCAATATGTCTGATAACACACAAGCTGTGAATGGATTTCTTTTGGGACATTAACATAATATCTGAAATGCAAATGCAAATTTAACTGCAGCTAAATAACTAAAGCCATCTCCTTAAATTAATCTCCGTTTTGACCTGATCTTCTTTTTTTTTTCTACAGGATGCTTTGTTGATGAAGTCAATGATAACTCGGGCTGTTAAAAATGAGCTATAGTTGATAATCGTGGGATTATTTCATAAAAGGCCACCGGCAGATCAAATGAAAGAGACCTAGAACTATAAGGCTGTCTTTGGTTTGGAGACATTTAAGAACCTTCTAGTGCCAAATGTCATCTGTTGAAACATCCCATTATTCTGTGATTTCCCATTACAACCCTCTGAACTGACAACATCCTACTGTCTGATGGCTATTCATTCTATATTTAAAAGAAAAATACTTCTACCCACTCTACTTAATTACATTATAGCTCAACGTCAATAGTGCTTTAGCAGTTCTTAGCTACTTTTTTTGTAGAAGTGCTTTCTTGAAGGATATAAACTTGAATAGGAAAGTGGATTTCTGTGCCAGAGAAATAAGATGATCGCCAAGTCCCATAATTCACGTATTGTATGACATGGATATGCTTTGCTCTCCAGGAGAGAAATAATACAGATTTTGAAACTGCAGTATATATGCTAACATATGTAAATATGCTAACATTATTGTTGCATTAGATGGCAAACGTAAATAAGTAGAGACGTGTCTGTTTCCAGAAGTTGAGGAAATCATCTGGAGATAAACTGATGCTTGAACTGAGTCTTTATATGACTTTAGTCAGAAATTGAATTGTTATTGGCTGTCTACCAAGTAAGTTGTTTGGCTCCTGTGAGCACAAAATACTTTTTAAATTGGCGATAAATACATCTGTAGACATCAATCGTAGGGAACCTCTGTTCTAAGTCCCTATAGCCCACAACAAAGCCCACAGCCCCTGTAGAAAACTTTCCTATTTGTGGTTTCATAACAATCCTTTCTACCGATGGGCCATCAGGAAAATGCTCCTTGGACTATTTTTAAATAATGCATTGCATTAGTTTTATACAAAGACAACTTTTTTTTTTTCAATCTAATTAATAAACTATATGAAAGATCCTTTGGAGATGTAAAAGAATTTTCAAACACAAACTTTGGTTTGCACTTTTGAGATCAGATAAATGAGATTTCCTTCAAACATAAAAAACATCTTATCGTGCTTTTAGGGTCCTGATTTCTCTGATTTCTTCACAAATGACGCTAGCAGGCTCTCAGGTATAAGATATAAGGATATAAGCAGTTTGAGATATTACACCACTATCAGTGAAGCTGTGTTCATTCAAGAACAAAAGCGTGTTGACTCTTTGTTTTTTTTTTTCTTCCTTCTCTTTAATCCCTAAGGGCAGATTTTCTCATCGTGCCTTTTCCTCTTTTTCAGGTGCTGGTTTGGCACACGCGCACGGAGAAGCCTCACCTCGCAAACGAGCCAAAACATCGAAAGGACACCGTGGTCATCGAGGTGTGACGGGGGCAGCCCCTTTTTTGACCGGTCTGACCGGGACTGACGGACAGCATCTCGCTCCTCCTCCTTATTGCCCTGATACAATCAGCTCGCGGTGGACACGGACTCTGAGGAGCTGCATGATTCACAACTCTCGTCAGACACTCCTTTGTGAGGAACTGCCTAGCTCAGAATATGTATTTCCAAACCTGGACGGACTCGCGTAATTGTTTTTCCATCTTTCAACCTTTCATCCAGCCTGCTGATGTATAAATTAAAGTGTAAGTGTAAAAAAAAACAAAACATGTTATTGGACTTAAAAGTGCCATGTGAATCATATTGACTCATTGATATGTATTTTTTTTTATTATCAAAATGTCACTGTCGAATTCACTGTGATCTAAAGAAGACTCATGGTCCCGATAATTGGTAGATGCCTGTATTGTTTGTGATAATGAACTTTGAGAGATTTCTGAGGAAGCAAACATGCAGGGAGAGAAGAAATCCACTTTTCACATTTATGCACTGAGAGTAAAACCAGTACGACTGCAATTACCAACTAGCTTTGTACAAAAGTTTGCAGCAGGATTCAAATATTAAATAAAAAGATATTCAACTCAAAATAGTACCAAAGAAACTTAAAATGTTGAAACTGAACATTTGTATTTTTTTCCTCCTTTGGAATACTCTATTTGATATCACTACCATTTTCCAATTTTTGCAGACATTTAATGTTTCCAGATGTGCCGGGAAGTTCACATTTATTGTTTTCGATACACAAAACAGAACATTTATGTCTGAGCTGACATTTTAGCCGTTAGATGTAATATATTTGCATTTAAACGAGAAAAGCAAGCCTTGTTGCTTTTTTCTAGTCGTCTTTATGCCAAGCTAGGCTAGCAGCATCAAAGTGTTTTTAAAACTCTCTATTTTCATCTCTATTTTCATCTCTCACCTCAGAAAGAGACACAATACTGAACCGTTGTCAAACCTATAACCCGTCACATGTTTCGCTCAGCATAGAAAATGCTCAGAGATAGTTTTGTTTTTTGCAGAGATTTGAATTGAAGAGTTTGGTACCATATTCTGTGGGAACAGCAAAACCATCTAGTCTTTAGAATGGTTTGTAAAGGTAAATCTAAATCAAATACCATGATCCATGATGGTTTGATTGAAATTATTGTCTTAAATCCAGTGTTTAATGGCTTTCTGATGGCTAAATAATATTTTATTTAATTTTGAAATGACCCAGAGGTGATCATAAATAATAAATCTGTGCGTCCTTCAGTATCTCATTCTGTCTGTATAAGAAGTATAACTCAACTAATATAACATCACTCAGTCCAGGAGACTGTAGAGTGACAAAAAAGAAAAAAAAATTGACAAAAAAGTGAGCCGTAAACAAGCATTGGACGGGCCGACTCTATCACAGGGGAAACAGACCTTCAACAGATGTTGTTCGAACTAGAAATAAAAACCAGGGTTGAATTCAGTATCCAGCAGCCTTTATTCCAAATTACCCTTATGTAAAACTTGAAAAAGAACCCAGAAGGAGAAGATAAACAGAATTATCAAAAGATAAAGCAGTATTTATAGAGTGGAGTCATCATTAGACATGGATGAGCACGGAAAACGTTCCGTATATTTTCGGTTCGAATACAGAAAATCGCTTTTTTTCGCTCCTCTTTACTAGGCACCAGAATGTGTAAACAACACACCACAAATAAACCTGGAGGACATTAAGATTTATTGAAATTGTTTACGCACGACGAGCGTGAGAGCTATTGCATTGCAGAGGGACCCTGTGAGTGTGGACTTGAAACTCTGCGTCGATGCTCGGCCGTGTGTTGTGTAACGATGAGACCCATCCAGGAATTTCATACAGGTCTTTTCCCCCGTACAGCTTCTTTTTTTTATTTCCTTCCAGTTCATTGTTGATTGGCCATCCAGGTTTATTTACAGCAAACCAACTGTGCTTTTTCTTGAAATGAAAAAAAACCCCACAATAAAGATGGCGGATATCTGACATACATGCATGGAGGGTGACACACATTTTGGGGTGTCCCGCTGTTCCATACGGTGAAATAAAAAAAGGTTTCGGTTTTAAGAGCTGGACGTGAATCTACAAGCTCCCAATTAACCGTATGGGCCACAGAACCACAGCACAACAACGGACACAGCACCTGCTCTGCTATTTAAAGTGCAGAAAAAAGACAAACTGCTAGGATTCCTGCAGTTCATTTGCCTCGGAAAAATGGCGGATTTCAGAAAGGACGTTCCTAAATGGGTTAGAGCCCAGTTCCAGGCTCGTCTGACTTTTAAATAACTTCGAAACGTCACGGGGAGACGATCAAAACCACCCAGAGGACCAGAGGGGCCGTCCGGCAATTACTGTGGCTTAAAAGGAATATTTGTCATGTGGAATTTTTTTTTTTTATGATTTATGAATGAGTGTATATATTGCGGATCAAAAGGCATATGTCAGTAAATGTGTATCGTATGCAGGTTGAAAATAAAGTGAAGCAAAGTGTGCGACTTTTTCTTTAAACTCGGTCCCTGTCACGGCACGGAGATGGATGGCAAATACTTGAGAGCCAGCTGCTTGATGACAAGGCCGTTAAGAAATATGGTGCTGTGGCAGAGACTTTTCAGCGTGTGCGTGCTCTGCTAGGATCATCGTTTTGGGAAATGCCTGGCAGTGTGCGGTTCAGAGTGGAACAGCAGACAGAATGCAAATTAAAGGAGAAACCAACAACGTGAATGTGTCTTATTAATCCGTCAGTGTCCCGTAAGCTGTAAGAATAGCTTCAGATGGACCAAAAATCCTCTAAAAAAACATATTCCATTGGTGGTGATGGTTTCTTTTTGTAATCATCAAACTATCCAGTGACCCCTGGGAGATGTTAACTCCCATCAGGACAGAAATGCTTCCACACAGGAACAAATTTATCATTCAGCTTTCTCCCGTTTTCTACTGATACAATTCTACAGCACAATTGGACCTAAAATATCCCAACGTCTCAACACTGTCAGGGTCACTAGATCTGGTTTATCCCATTAATTTGTTGCTGTCTGTAGCCTAGCCTAGCATAAATCCAGGAAGCATGTGAAACCGGTTAGTCTGGCTGTGTTAAAAGTTTAAAAATTAATAAATGAAAAGTTTCAGAATGGCTCTTGTTCACCTGCTAAATATAATTAAATCTTGGTGAAAAGCTACACATGGTGTGATTTCTCAAAAATGTGTTTCCAATGAGATGCAAAATATGTGACAGATAAAAATAGAGACACTGCATGTAAATTAACTTTTCAAAATTTTGGACAGAGCTAGGCTTGCTACTCAACCATGCTTCAAGTCTTTAAGCTAAGCTAATTGACTGTGAACCTCACCCTTCAATCAAACCACATGAGAGCATGTACATTTTTTGACTATATGGGGTTCCTGATCCAGCTTTTGGAAGTTAATGATGTACAGAATCAATGCATTACCCGCTGCGAGACCTTATGATACCACAAGTGATGTAATATTGCTCGTCTTGGCGTTTAAGAGGGTTTTTTAGTCTTTTTGGTTGGACAATGCTAGAGTAGCATATCGGTATAAAACAAAACCACCTGTCGAGACCGGTGTAAAGACGACAACTTTGAACACACGTCAGTCGGATCCCACGTAGCACAAAAGACCCAATCTACACTTCACTTAGCCCTATGGAGCACCACGTAATGACCAAACGAAAACGGGGTTATCGACTCGTTTTTCCCGCGGCTCTGAAAAAGCAGGAGGTTCACATCGTTTTCACATAAATACAGCACTTCTCAGACGATTACTTGCTACGAGCCTTTGACTCGCTCTAATGGGTCGGGGGTAAGGACAATATACACTGCAGAGAGAAGGGAGAGGACGGGTTGTGTAGACCAACCACACGGTTTTCATATCTACTGTACGTAACTTGATGGACTACTAAATAACTATCCATTCTAACACCACAACTCCATGTTAGAACTGCACAACTTGGAGACGTTGACGCAGCATACGTTCTATTTTTTTACGCCGTTTTTTGTTTTGTTTTTCAGACAGGAAAAAAAAAAAAACACAACATGAGGCAAAAAAAAAAGAACAGGGGAGGAGAT